GGCAATGTCTGGGGACATTTTTGGTGGTCACCACTGGGAATGCGTGCTGGTGGGTGGGACACCTAGTGGTCGGAGGCCAAGATACTGCTAAACATCCTATAACACCTGGTTTCATGAACCACTTGCTGTTTTTCCTAACACAGTAAAATGTCTAATTAAAAAAAAATAAATGACATTTGAATGTGACTTGAAAGTGTCCCTTTTACCAGCGGTGGGGACATACCTCTGGGAAACAGGCAACACCTTGGCTATGGCTTCTTAGAAAGCACTCAGTTAATGGTAGTTGGTTATCTGCGGCTAAAATAGCTTGAGGAAATCTTCCTTGCCAAAGGGACCAGAATAGATTTATCTCTTTATATCTAGAATGGGGTTAGCTCCTCAGATTCTTTTTCTGTCCTTTGGGGGAGGGTTACGCATCATTCTTAAGCTACCACTAAGTCTGGTTTGAGTCTTGAAGTCTTTCCTTCCAGGGGCCTTGGAGGAACTCCACTTGTGTCATCTCTCAGTGGCCTGCGTGGAGGGCCATCACATTCCTTCCATTTTCAAGTTTTGTCTATTTGCTGCCACATACCTCCTGCCCTCCCCTGTTGGGATTGCCCCCACGCTCTGTACTTCCCACGGCTACAGAAACTTCTCACAGTGTTTCACAATTGTCTGCCCACAGCCCCACGTCCCCACCATACTCAGCCTTTGAAAATCGGATGAGAAGGGTGTCTTTTTCATTTTGGTACCCCCAGTGTTCGGCACCAGAGATGTTTTTTGGATGAATGAGTGGTCGAATGCAGGAATGTCATAGGGTCCTTCATTCTGGCTCAGTTATGCTGGGGTTCTGCCAGAGTCCTTGTCAGGATAATCATCATGGATTCTTGTTCAGCATAGGAATGCTCATGGTTTCATTTTGTAAAAGAACAAACATACAGTCTCAGTTTTCCTGTTTTTTTTTTTTTTTAAGATTTATTTATTTGAGAGAGAGAGAGACAGAAGGAGCAGAGGGAGAGGGAGAGAGAGAATCCTCAACCAGACTCCCTGCTGAGCACAGAGCCTGGTGTGGGGCTTGATCCCAGGACCTGAGATCATGACCTGAGCCCAAATCAGGAGTCTGCTGCTTAACAGACTGAGCCACACAGGCACCACTGTCTGTCTAGTTTTAATGACAGTTTTTTTTTTAAAGATTATTCATTTATTTATTTCACACACACACACACAGAGATAGAGAGAGAGAGAGAGAGAGGGAGAGAGACACAGCGAGAGAGGGAACACAAGCAGGGGGGAGTGGGAGAGGGAGAAGCAGTCTTCCCCCTGAGCGGGGAGCCTGATGTGGGGCTTGATCCCAAGACTCTGGGATCATGACCTAAGCTGAAGGCAGATGCTTAACAACTGAGCCACCCAGGAGCCCCTTTTATGACAGTTCTATTTGTCAGTGTCTTAACCTTTTATTTCCTGCATATCCACTCTTGGTCCCTTCTTATTTGCTCTCCCCATGCACTTTCTGTGCAGCTACTACTCCTGAAAGAAAATTGGTAGAGTTAATGTGGTTTTTGGCTGTAGGTTTCTGTATTCATTTTATTTGTTCTTTATTCCCTGTCTTGTTTCACAAGGAATTTGCAGAGGCCGGTAATTGTTGTAACGGGAAATTAGGATATCTAGGCAGGATTCGGGGCAGTGCAAAACAGTGCTGCTAACACTGCATTCTAATTTAGGATGAACAAGTCCCAAGATTCTGGTAAAGGCTTCTATTTCTGATGTCAGGAAACTAACAGGTTTGGCTGGACTAGAGAAATGAGAATCCACCTTCAGACATTGCTGAAAGCCCTTATATCAAGTCAACAGCTGGCTACAACCCACTTTGCATCCCCCCTCACCTTGCCATCCCCGACATGTCATTCAAACACATTTCTTAGTTTTGCTTGACGTCTTTGTGTACTGGGTCAGCCCTTGCAACATAACAAACGCAGAGGCTAGGAGAATTTCTAACGTCTTCTGAGAAGCAGGTTTTGTGTAAGACCGAAGGATTTGGAGTCAGTCCAGGAGTTCTAAACGCCATTCCACCACATAAAAGTTGAATGCCCCCAAATGAGCCACTCTATTTCTCTCAGTTTCAGTTTTTCCATTCGTAAAATGTGGATTATAGTTCCTCTCTCTTAGGGTTGTGATAAGGACTAAATGAGATGAAGTGCTTGGGAGGGGAGGGGGCTTAATAAACAGTAGCTCTCATTATCATCCCAGGGAGGAAGAGCAAGTTTATATTTGGGGGGAAAATTGTATTCAGCAAGTCTGTCACTTTTTGTACCGATGCACACATGTCTGTGTGCATGGGTGCATGTGATGACGCATCTCCAGTTCTATCTAGTATAGGAATTAGAAGAGAATAGGAAAGACCGTCTCCTCCTTTAAATTTTTCATATACATAAACAGAACACGTGTATAAATACATGCACACCCAATTTAATAATTATGAAACAAACATTTATATTATTATCATGCTGGTTAAGAAACAGATCATAGCAGCACCCTGACACCTTGAATGGCCTCCATTTTAACCCCCCTGGGGAGCCACTCTCCTGACTTTTGCTTTCTTTATGGTTTTACCACCTGTACGTACATTCCTCTCTTTACATGTTTTTGGTCTACTTTTGAAATTTATATTAGTGAAATCATACCTTATTCTAATGTCATTTCCTTCAGTCAACATTGTTTTTCTTTCTTTCTTTCTCTCTTTCTTTTAAAGATTTATTTGAGAGAGAGACAGAGAGAGTACAAGCAGGGGAAGAGGGAGAAGCAGACCGCATGCTGAGCTGGGAGCGGGAGGCGGAGGTGGGATTTGATCCCAGGACCTGGAGATCATGACCTAAGTTGAAGGCAGACGCTTAACCACCTGAGCCACCCAGATGCCCCTTTCCAGCATTGTTTCAAAAACTCATATGTCATTGTGTTTAGCTGTATTTATTTTCATTACTGTATGAAGACACCGCAGTATTAAAAAAATGATAAACGTTGTTCTGCTGATAGACATTTGCGTTGCTTCCAGGCTTTTTTTTTTTTCCATTGTCATACAATACTGTTTGTATCTTGTACATGTGAGCCATAGAATGTGTTTATCTTCAGTTTTACCAAATAGAGCCAAACTTTTTTCAAGACTCTACTGATTTATAGTCCCATCAGCTATGTATGAATGACAGGCTCCACATCTCTGAAAAACAGATTTTCCCCACCCCTTTTTTGGGGGGACGGGGGCGGTGAGCATTATATCTCGTTGCGGTTTTATTTTTCTCATTTCGTGATTATGTGTGAGGTTGAGCACCTTTGTATACGTTTGTGGGCCATTTCAATTTCCTCTTTAGTGAAGTGCCCATTTAAATCTCCTGCGTTTAGTTGATTTTAAAATGTCCTTTCAGACAATCTCAATACGTTCACCCACGGGTGGTTGGGCAATCAGCCCGCAGTTGCAGTAACCGAGGCAGGCTGGCAGTTCGGGCTCGAAACATCTCCTGCCCCAGCTGTAGCAGATGAACGAGCCGATTTCCCCCAAATAACGAGTGCTTCGATTTTAGCCCGGTTTAAGGAGCAAGAAGACCAGGGCGGCCTGGCTGCCTTCCTCCTCGCAGGTGGCCATGAAAGCAGAGGACAGCGCCCTACCGTCCCCAGGGATCCTGGACACCAACAGACGCGTCCTTAAGCTGAGCGTCCTGCTTAACCGCCAATTTCAAACTTCCAGGAGCTGCCCTCCGGGGTTTGTCCCTCCCCGTTTTCCATTGGTCACGAGTCAGAGGAAGAAACAATCTGATTGGTTCTCCCTTTCACTTCCTCTATCCCTTTAAGGACTTGGGTGGGGCTCGTTTGGGACGCGGCGGGTCATTTTAAGAGCGGGCACTCTGATTGGTCTGGACACGCCTGAGCCCCGCCCATGCTGTTCGCCAGGTTCAAACGCGGCGGCGGGAGGCGCGGAGTGGAGCAGAGCGCGGACGGGCCGGGTCGGCGGAGCGTGAGTCCAAACCCCGCACGCGCATTTCTCCCTCACTCCCCTCTGCAAGGCACGGGGCAGGGCCGCCTCCACCCACACCAGTCCCGGCTTTCCCTCCCGTTGCGGGGAGGGCGGTGGTGTAGCCCCCAAGGTTGCCGGGGGCGAGAGGGTCTTCCCAGGTCCTCCTCCGAGAGAGCCTCAAGGTCTGTAGGTGGTGTCCGGGGCAGGAGGAATTGTTCCCTTCTTAAGCCTGGAGGGGGTCCCCTGTGTGTTCCGCTTTCCCTCTTTGCCTGTCAGCATTACCTGCATTATTCCGTCTGGTGGAGTGCGGCAGCTCCCTATTATCCGTGTTGTGTGACTTCACACCCTCGGTACCGTCAGCCACCTCCCGCTTCCCGCGTCGTTCCCTCTGCTTCAGCCCGTCTCGTCTCCCTGCTATTGTTCGAGAAGGCCAGGTCCTGCCTCAGAGCCCCAGCCCTGGCTGTTCCCTCTGCGCGGCACACTTTTCCTGCCTCCCCCGCCCATCAGCAAGGATTACTGTTTACCCGCTTCAGATCTGGCTTCAAATGTTACCTTCTCAGTCTACTCCGACTACGCTGTTAAAAACAGCGCACACGCACCAATTGCCCCTACCTTGCTTTCTCTTTTTTAACCTTGTAGTACATATTACTTTGCAACGTACTATGTAATTCTCTTTTTTCAATCATTCATTGAATAAGTATTAGCACCTGCTGTGTGGTGGGCTGGGTCTCCCGCCCTTACGGAGCTTACAGTATCGGTGGTGCAGATAATAAACAAATTGATTTGTAAGAGAATATGTCAGATAAGTGTATGATCTCTTGTTGCAGTGAGTAAAAAATCTTTTTTTTTTTTAAATGTCCATTGTCAGCCTGAACTTCCCAAGTTCCGTTTTGTGGTGGCTGGTTTTCACCTCCCTATCCCTGACATCTTTGTGGAAGATCAGGATCTTTCAAGTGCTTCCTCCTCAGTTTGGCAGCACACACTTGACCTTCTCCTGTATCTCTTCATCACTGGAGAGATGCTGAAGTTCAAATATGGAGCACGGAATCTGCTGGACGCTGGTGCTACTGAACCCATTGCCACCCGGGCCTCCAGGCTGAATCATTTCTTCCAGGTAACAGGCTGCCAACTCTGTTCACCTGTGTTTGTTTCCCTGGAACCTCCTTGTCACTTTTATTCTTGTTATAGGACTGAGGCTAATCTTCTAGGGGAAATCCCATTTGGTGTTTTATACTTGCTGATAGTATTGGAAAAAGGAGCCACTGTACAGACACCTCTATAGATAGCCAACCTTGTCCTTGAAGGGAAATCTTTTCTTTTTAAACATTTCTCCCACTTTACTTATCTGTACTACGGTTTGCCCTTTGTTAAAGAAAAACAGACAAAGGCATTCTTTTGGCTAAAATTGTTATAAGTATAATCCTATTTCTTTTGGTTGAAGATATATATATATATATATTTTTAAGATTTTTTATTTATTCATTTGACTGGGGGGGCAGGGGAGAAGGGGTAGGTAGAGGGAGAGGCAGGCTCCTTGCTGACCAGAAAACCCAAACCGGGACTCCATCCTAGACCCTGGGATCATGACCTGAGTTGAAGGCAGACACTTAACCGACTGAGACACTTGGGCGCCCTCTTGAAGAGATCTTTATTTAAAACAAAAACAAACAAACAAACAAAAACCGATTTGGTAAATACCCACACCTGTGAAACCCATATTCTGCTCAAGATAAAGAACCTTTCTATTTCTATGGCTGCAGAAGTGTTTCAGCTCAGGGAATGGTTTCCAAGCAGATTTTTAATTCTTTTGTTTTTGGTGTAGATGAAACATTGTTGATGTAGAGATCTTTGTTTGACTTATGTAACCACAAGTCAGGGGAACAATCCAGATAGTGGTAAGGATTTGGGTTTGAATCCTGGCCTCAGCCCTTGTTGGCTGTTTTACCTTGGGTGACTCAGTTGCCTTCTCTGCATCCATTTGCCACTCTTTCAAATAGAGGTTATGGCACCAAATTCACAGGGTTATTATGAGGATGAAATGAGATACTTACGTAAAGCACTTAGCTTCTTGCTTAGCTCTTGGTAAACCATTGGTTATAAATGCTAACTATTATTAATGCTAAGTGTAGAAATAATACTAGTTATAATAATGATAAATTTAGGGGCGCCTGGGTGGCTCAGTGAGTTAAAACCTCTGCCTTCAGCTCGGGTCATGATACCAGGGTTCTGGGATTGGGTCCCACATCGGGCTCTCTGCGGGGAGCCTGCTTCCCTCTCTCTCTCTGCCTGCCTCTCTGCCTACTTGTCATCTCTCTCTCTCTCAAATGAATAAATAAAATCTTTAAAAAAAATGATAAATTTATGTTGGCTTAGGAGTAATTATATTTAGGAAGGTATTTATGCAAGGATACCTGTATGGTAAATACTGATATTTTCTTAGTTACTCCCCCACGCCCCTGCCGCCCCAAATACTGGTAGTGAGGAATGTTCAAACAGATCAGAATGGAAACAGATTGAAAGCTTAGGTTGGTTGTTCTGTGGGACCACTTCTGTCGCCATTTTAAGTCATGAGACATTTCTCACAAATGAATAATTTGTTCCTAATGCTAGCTAGCTGACCGGAGTGCTGCCGTGTTTTATCCCCTTTAGGTTTTATTCCAAAACTTTTTTGACTTATTATAAAATTGGCTAAAGGCATATAATGTGCTCCTTATGTAATAATTGTGGCTTCTAATGTGCTGGGTACAGAGCCAGCATGCTCCTGATTATCTCACTTCAGCTCCGTAACAGATGTGAGGATTTTTCATATTTACATTTTAAAAAGAAAGAGAAAGGGGCGCCTGGGTGGCTCAGAGGGTTAAAGCCTCTGCCTTCGGCTCAGGTCATGATCCCAGGGTCCTGGGATCGAGTCCCCCATCGGGCTCTCTGCTCAGCAGGGAACCTGCTTCCCCCCTCTCTCTCTGCTTGCTTCTCTGCCTACTTGTGATCTGTCTGTCAAATAAATAAATAAAATCTTAAAAAAAAAAAAAAAGGGAAGAGACAGATATTGAGGGAAGCAAGGACTTGCTCAGGATCATGTAGCGTGTAAATGACAGAGCCAGGCTCCAATTTTATTCTGACAACAGAAGGCATGTAACCATTGGCAAGACTGCCAGCATGTGTTAGAATTTGTTAAGTGTGTATTATATTTAAATGTCATTATACAGCAAGAGTTGTGGGTAAATCCCCAGTTCATCTTTTTTGCATGATAAGTTCTTCCCTGTCCCCAGGAAAGCTATTATGTGCAAGTGTAGCATACACCTAACATTTGCCTAACCAGGTATGGATACTGGTCTTTCCCTGTATAATACTGTTTTATTTTTATTTATTTATTTTTAAAAAGATTTTATTTATTTATTTGACAGACAGAGAGCACAAGTAGGCAGAGAGGCAGGCAGAGAGAGGAGGAAGCAGGCTCCCTGCTGAGCAGAGAGCCCGATGCGGGGCTCCATCCCAGATCTCTGGGATCATGACCTGAGCCGAAGGCAGAGGCTTTAACCCACTGAGCCACCCAGGCGCCCCTATAATACTGTTTTAATGAGGTTTAGATAGAGTAGTGATTTTGTTTTCCATGCAGGGAAGTACTTTGGACCGGGTCTTAATTTCTACTTAACATCGTACTTGACTTCCCAACGAGTTTTGTGTCAGTGGTCAGAAGACATTTAGATTTTTTGAGCCAGGAAAATTTCACATATTTGTTAGGCCAACATTGGCTTTTTTATTTTGCCAAGTAAGGGATGTAAGAAGGATGTAACAAAACCGATATAGAGAAAAGCCCATTATTTTCTGGTCCTTTCATTTCATAAAGAAGGGACATTTTTAAGAAACACCAACAGAGGAAGGACATGAGTTTAGAATAAAAGATTATTTTTTTTTTTTAAAGATTTTATTTATTTATTTGACAGAGAGACAGGGAGAGAGGAAATACAAAGCAGGGGGAGTGGGAGAGGGAGAAGCAGTCTTCCCACTGAGCAGAGAGCTGGATGCAGGGTTCCATCCCAGGACCCTGGGTCATGACTGAGCGGAAGGCAGCCGCTTAACCTTAACCACTGAGCCACCAGGCACCCCTACAGATCACTTTAAATTTGAATGTATTTATCTTTATAGACCATTTATCACGTGGTGTTCAATTTTTCTCATTTTGTGGCAGACTTGAGCACTTGGTGAAGTGTCAGTACTGTATGTGGGAACTGTTGCTTTAGTTAGTCTGAACTCAGTAAAGATCAAATGAACAAAGACTTACTATTTTTCAGAATTTGTTGCAAAACTATAACTAAAGGGAAAGGTGGCTTGTGACCCACTGCCTCACATACCTGGCTGAGGCTTAAATCTCTTGGTGAGCTTGTTAATAGATTCTCAGTGACAAACTGGAAAGTTCTAGTTCAGTAGGTCAGGATAGCACCAGAGACTTGTTTTTCAGCTAAGATCTTCAGGTGATTCAAATGTAGCCAGCCGGTTCAGTTCTAGTATCCGGTGCTGCGTGCAAAACCACTCACAAAGTTGAAACCAGCAGTGATTTATTTTTTCTTATGATTCTGTGGGTTGTTTGGATTCAGCTATGTAGTTCTTTTGTTCCACCTTGTGATATCAGCTGGGGTCACTGAAGGGGCCATATTGTGTTGGGAGCTTGGCTGGGGCTGGAACATCTGGGTGCTGACTGCTGGCTGGGGCATCTCCGTGTTCCTCCAGCTGACTTCTCTATGAGGTCTTTCATTAACCAGTAGTCTAATCCAGGCCTTGTAACTTTCTTCTCTAAATAATAAATGTTTTTAGGCTCTGGGGTAGCTGTAGCTGTTCATCTCTGCCATCATAGCACAAAAGCAGCCACAAACAATAGGTCAATGAATGGGTATGGCTGTGTTCCAATAAAACTTTATTTATAAAAATGGACGGGGAGGGGCGCCACAGTGGCCAATGGGTTACAGTTTGCTGACCCCCGGTCTAGCCTAGGCTTTTTTACATGGCAACTGGCTTCCCAAAAGAGCAAAAGCAGAAGCTGCTACGTTCCTTTAGAGCTCTGCCCTCACAGTGTCACTTGTGCTGCGTGTTGCTTGAAGCAAGTCACGGAGACAGCACAGATTCAAGGGGACAGGAAACAGATGCTGGCTGTTGACGGGAGTGGTGGCAAGCACCTACAGAATCACGGGCCTTTGCAGAGTTGCCTCCACACAGTCCATAGCCTGGCACATGGAAATCATTGTGCTAGACCAGAGGTAGCAAACTCATGTCTTTGGGGGTCAGGCCGTGACTATGACTGAGTCACATGGGCCAGATGGAAAACCGGGAGTCATGTCTGCAATGAACTGCAGACCACATTCACTACCCAGAGGGCCAGCCTCACTCAGCCACAGCTCAGCATCATTATGCAGGAATGTGGGGCAATGTGGCTCCATCCTCCAGTGTTTCAGGAGAACTCCCAAACTCCAACCCCTCTTTTGGGTGAAATTTCCTGATTTTTCAATGTTGGCAGATAATTCAAATTCTTTTAAATGCTGCAGGCCCAACAAAACCTGTCTGTGGGTTAGCTATAATCTGCCAGTGCAGATTATGAATCAATTCAGCTTTAGTATGGTCAGTCCGTCCATACTGTTCTAGATTGTTCGAGTGAATGGAAGAAACCACGGTTATATTAACAAACCTCTGGGCACACTCAAAAAAAGTAGCAGTCACAGTGTCATGTTGTAGAGACATGGAAATATTTCAGAACCAGCAGGGTCCAGGGTAAGTGTTCCCATGAGCCTCAGACTGTTAAGAAAGAAGGACTCTGGGCACCTGGGCGGCTCAGTCAATTAAGTGTCTGCCTTTGGCTCAGGTCATGATCCCAGGGTCCTGGGATCTAGTCCCACATTGTGGGGGGAGAGGGGAGCGTGGTTCTTGCTCATCGGGGCATCTGCTTCTCCTTTTGACCCTCCCTCCCGTCCCCCCAACCCTGGCTCATTCTCTCTCTCCCTCTCAAAAATTGGAAAAAAAAAAAAAAAAAGAAAAAAGAAAAGAAAAGGAAAGAAAAAAGGGCCTTTTCTTATTAATGGCATGCTTGTGAAGTTTCCTCCCCAGGTGCTGGTGGAAGGAACCCACAGTAATGGAATCTTAGGAGCGATAATGTAATGACTCTCAATTGATGTCGCTTTAAAGAACGAAGCCCCAGAATTGTGCTGTTAGCATGTGTCGTGAGCAGTTAGAGTTGGTGGCTTGTAATTTACTCTGCGTGGATGTTATTGATCAAAGCTTTTCATTATTGACAGTGTCTCCATCTGCTGTTTGCTGTTTTTAGGGGAAACCACCCTTTCTGACTCAACAGCAGATGTCTCCGCTTTCCCGAGAAGGGATATTAGATGCCCTCTTCGTTCTCTTCGGAGAATGCAGTCAGCCTGCTCTGATGAAGATCAAGCACGTGAGCAACTTTGTCCGGAAGTGTAAGTGTGGAGAACTTTTTCTTGAAAAGTCTTCTGCTAGACAAAACTGCAGAGATGCAGGAGGCTGAAGGAGTTAGTGGTCGGTGGTCTGCTGGGAGGAAACAGACCCAGTTTCAAGGTCAGTTCCCACCTGCTGCAGTTGGGAGTCAGGTAAGTCAGGTCTCCCGGTTGCAGGTGACAGACACTCAACTCTAGCTTAGGCCAAAAAGTGAACTTATGGCTCAGTAAAACTGAGAAATCCAGGGTTGGGTTAAGCTTTCTGTATGGCTGGATCCGGAGTCTTAAATTATGTCCTCTGGTTCCATCCTTATACCCACTCAGAGCTGATAATCCAGCTGGCATAACACAGTGCTTAGGGCCCACAGTATTTAATTTTAATAAATTGAACTTTTCATTAGTTTAATTTTATTTTGGGATAAAAATATGACTGTAATAATGTATAATGATTTAGGGTTACATGCATCTTTATGTCAGTGTCACCATATAATTTTTGACTTTTTTTTTAAGTAGTTTTTTTTTTTTTCCTCAAGTAGGCTCCATACCTAGCATGGAGCTCTACCCAGGGCTTGAACTCATAATCCTGAGAATAAGACCTGAGCTGAGATCAAGAGTCAGATGCTTACCTGACTGAGCCACCCCGGCGCCCCTTGATTTTTTTTTTTTTTTTTTTTAAACGGAGGAAGGGGCTGATGAAGGCAGACATACCTAGGGCCTATGAAAGGTATAGATCAGCTCTGCCCTGTGGGGGGCAGTTAGCTGCTAATGTCTGTGTCCCAGTTTTGTATTTGATTACCTTACATCAGTGTTTTTCAACCAGTGGTGATTTTGCTCCCCTCTGGACTCTTGGCAACGTCTGGAGATATTTTTGGTTGTCACAGCTTGGGGGGAGGGGAAGGGTGCTACTGGCATCTAATGGGTGAAGCCAGAGATAATGCTAACGCTTCCTGCAATGACAGAATAGCCACCACAGCACAGAAATATCTGGCCCCAAATTTCAGTAATGACAAGTATGAGAAACCCTCCTTATATGACCTTGATGTGTAACCAAGTCCCTGGAACTATAGTGGCCTCGAACAGTAATTGCTGTGTTACCTCATGAATCTGCGGGTTGATGGGGCTCAGCTGAGGATTTTTCCTCTCCATGTGACTGGCTAAGAGTGGCTAAGATTGCAGGCACCCGGGACTCTCCTGGTCTAGAACGTCCAAGATGGCTGCTCCGTGACTGGCAGGTTGCCTGGAAGACCGGACTCAGCTGGGGCTCTGGGATGACTGGGCCTTTCCCTGTCTCTGTGAAGTCTCAGGGCCTCCTGCTCTTCATATGGCTTCTCCATGTGGTCTCTCCATCAAGGGTCAGCCAACAACAGCCTGGGATACTTGTTTTGTAAACAAAGTTTTTTGTTGTTTTTTTTTTAACTTTTTTTTTTTTAAGATTTTATTTATTTATTTGAGAGAGTGACAGTGAGAGAGAGCATGAGAGGTGAGAAGGTCAGAGGGAGAAGCAGACTCCCCATGGAGCTGGGAACCCGATGCAGGACTCCATCCTAGGACTCTGGGATCGTGACCCAAGCCGAAGACAGTCGCTTAACCAACTGAGCCATCCAGGTGCCCTGTAAACAAAGTTTTAATGGACCGTGTTAGCCATGCCCATTTGTTTATGTACTTTCCGTGGCTGCTTTCTCATGACGGGGCCTTGGAGTCGTGGTGTCTGCGACTGCGTGGCCTACAAAGCCTAAAATTATTTACTCTCTGGCCCTTCAAGCAAAAAGTTGCTGACCTCTGATCTATCTGGTCCCTTTAGCAGAGACATCGACATCTTACGTGGCAGCTCAGGGTTTTCAAAAGCACTAAAGTGGAAGCTGCCAGGACTTCTTAGGGCTGAAGCATGGAAGGGACGGAGGGTCTCTTTGGCCTCATTCTGTTTGAAGCGAGTCATAGGGCCGCCCAGATTCCATGTGCCCCAGAACTACACAAGTGAATTCTAGGAGGCGTGTGATTCATTGGGCACCATCTTTGGGACTGGCTACCATGCCCTGTGCAACGTTTCTCTAAGTCTGCTCTGGGTCATCTGCCTACCCCTTGAGCAGGCACGGGGCCAGGATGCGAAGTGTGATGGGCCTCCTCTGGGTACCCAGGGGTTCAGGGCACCCTGATCACCTGGGTCTCATGGAATGGGGGAATGTGCAACTATCCAAAAGAACTGGGAGTTTTGAGTAGCTAAAATCCTCATACGGCCACCACAATGACCTTCGTGATTTACCTGTACCTCGTCTCTTCTGTGTCCTTATCTGCAAGATGGGGAAAATAATATTTAAGAAGGCTGTGCGGGGATTGAATGAATTAGGGCAAAGACCAAGCTTATGTTGCCTGACACATGAGAGATAATAAATGTTAACCCAATAATGGTAGCTGTCAACCTCAACATATATTTAATATGTTGGATGTCTTTAATTTTAAAAGGTACTCAGATCCTTTTCTTTATTCCATATCTGTTTGAATACACTTCCACCTTATTTTCTTGAGTATTTAAATTTTTAAGTAGGGAGTGGTAGGGGAGGGGAAATAGGGAGACAGACTAATTTATCAAGCCATCTACAGGCACCTTCTTCAGTCTGGAGTCGGCCCCCTGGTTTTTTTTTTATTTTTAGTTTTTACTCTTTAAAAAATGTTATGTATCTATTTAGAGAGAGCATGAGCACAAGAAGATGCAGAGAGAATCACAAGCAAACTCCCCACTGAGCAAGGAGCCTGACAGGGAGCTTGATCCCATGATCTGGAGATCATGACCTGAGCTGAAATCCAGAGTCCGGATGTTTAATCAACTGAGTCACCCAGGTGCCCCTGTCCTCTGGTTACTTTAAAGTAGTGGATCTTCTAAATTCCTTCAGTAATCCGGGGACTTAGGCTTAGCGAAATGTAGGTTTTTCTAATAGAATTCTCTTGCAAGGAATTGTTTTGTATTTTTGAAGAGGCTTCCTGGCGAGTAAGGCCGAGAGGCTGTGATTGTAAAAGGGTAATTACATTAGTATGGCTGGTTGTGTGTGTGTGTGTGTGTGTGTGTGGGTTTTTTTTTTTTTTCCTCTTTTGGGTTTCTGTTTTGGAACGTAAGCTTCACTTTCACATGGGAAAAAAGAGCCCAACAGCTGCTACTGCAGGAGTTTCTTGCATCTTGTCATAGAGATGGAGATTTTCTTTGGGGACTGTTGGGGACAACCAGACCGAAAGTATAGCCCTGAAGAGGTGTCCCAGCCTTGAGCCAAAGGAGGGTAGGGAGCAAGGAACCTGGATCTGGGAATCAGGGAAGAGATTTTTATTTCTTAATTACTGCTCTATTCCCAGTGCTTAAAACCGTGTCTGGCAGATGGTAGATGTTCAGTAAATATTGGTCAAATGACTGTATTGCCAAGCGAACAAGTAGGAAAACCTTAAGCATTGTATTATAGAATTTGCATAAACAAACTGATATTAAACATGCAAAGTGTTAATTACTGTTGAAATTGGACTGTTCTTTGATTTGACAGTAGCTGAGCTCCTATGCGCTTTCAGCGACATTTACTGTAGGCAAGAGCTTCTGTATGTTCACAACTGTAGTACTTACAGGTGAATTCTAACATTAAGAATTTTTTCTTCCTAATATAAACAGGACACAAAGTTAAAGGTCAGAGTGAGAGACTATCCCTCAAAATCTCCTCTGTCTGTGATAACCACTGTTACCAGTTTGGTGCATAATAATGCAATTTTAGGGGGTTCTTATAATAAATTTATTATAGAAATTCTCAAGCGTGTCCCAAGGTAAAGAGAATACTGTGTAATGAACTCCTGTGTACCAGGCAACCCGCTGTAGCAATCAGTCAGGCCTTTCCATGTATGTTCTAACATCACTCGTTTCATTTTACACAAAACGGATCGTATGTCTGTAATATTTTGCTACTAGCTTTGCTCACTTAGCAATATATTTACTCAACAAATATTTACCCTTGCACTTGCTTTGTGCCAGGTTCTGTTTGGGGGACTGGATTTACAGTGGTGATCAAAACAGAAGAAAATCGCTGTCCTTAAAGAATATTCTCACGGAGATGCAGCTACTTTATGTGCCTAATATTCTTCTATGTGGGTGGACTTTAGGTTGATTCCACTTTCCTGTTGATGGATGTTTAGGTCATTTATTTTTCCCTCCCTCCCTCTCTCCCTCCCTCCCTCCCTCCCTTCCTTAGATTTTAGTTACTTGAGAGAGAGAGAGCATGAGTTGGGGGCAGAGGCAGAAGGAGAGGGACAAGCAGACTCCATGCTGAGCCCGACATGGGGCTCAATCCCAGGACCCTGGGATTATGACCCAAACTGAAGGCAGACACTTAACCGATTGAGCCACACGGGTGCCCCTGGACCTTTAGGTCATTTCTGGTTATTTTTCTGTTGCAAGTAGTGCTCATGATGAGCATACTTCTGTGTGTTGTTTTCCAGCACATCTGCTAGCGTTTCTTTGAAGGACAAATTCCTAGAAATTTGAAATGTTGAATTGACTGAGTTTCAGGAGAAGAAGGGTTGTACTCAGCTGTGTTGTCTTTTGCCCCTGGGTCCAAATGTTTATCTGACAAGGCCGAGCTTTGATTGCATTTTCATTACAGTGCTTTGGGTCCCCATTTCCACCTCAGTATTCAGTCCTTAACTACTCTAATTAACAGGGTGCATGGCTGAAGTGGGATGTGGTTTTGGAGTCACAGAAGCTGCTGGGATGAAGGGACATTGTGAGGGTGTTTTTTGTTGTTGTTTTTTTGTTTATTTTTAATTGTCCTACACTTGAGTTTAGTATCTGACCTGTTCGCCTTAATAATCCACAGCCTTTGGAAAAAGACATAGGCATATGGAATATTTTCTCAGAATCCTGGTTATCCTTGTGGTTTTGCCTGGAGCAGTTTGTCTGCTTACATGATTGAAATGTGGTTTCCAGCCACAGATCCAGAGTTATGTTGGACAAATGCTATAAGCAACCTAGGGACCCAAGGCCCAGCAGAGAATCGAGAGGCTGATTGCAAACAATAATAAAATCAGGTTCAGCCCAGAAAGTTGCAAACCAGCATATTTGGGGAATTATCATTCAAAACTACCTGATCTGAAAGAAACTTGGAAAAAGGGCAGGGAAGAAAGACAGGACTTGGCACAGGAATGTCAGGGCAAAAGGAAAATATTGTGCAGCTTTCAGCTCATGGAATTCTCCACAAAGGCATTTTAGATTTATTTTTTACTGTGGTCATGGTGAATTTCTTTGGATCTACCCAGCACTCTTGCTTGATTCCCCCAGGGACCAAAGGGAGGTGTTTTCAGGGTGACTGGCTGAAGAGAGAGGTGTGGTCTGTGGGTGGGAATGTACACAGTGCAGTAGAGTTCATCATTTGTGCCTTTGATCCAAGTAAATTCAGATCTACCCATGTCACAAAGAAAGGGGATGGGTAGCAACTAAAACTGCATTGGCTAATTTATCAATATGTTTGATGCCCAACAACTATAGGTATGAAATGATTTTCCCTTTCATTGGGCTCATTTCCTCTCATTATGTGAATAACTTACCAAGCTGAGTGTAACTCTAGAATGTAGCCTCCTGGCTATCTCTGGTGCCCAACCATGGACATGGCAACCCGCTCTAGTGCCCGAACGACTTTAGTGTCCATGTGGGAGTTCAAGAGTCTCTTGGTCTTCATCATGGCACCTCTCTGAGGGATTCTCCAGGATAATATTATTACGTGTTCCTGTTGTCTTCTTTCAGAGTGTAACCCCCGTTTCTCTATATGGAGTTTCTCTATCACGTGAAGGATTGAATTTTCCAGTCAGATACGGCTATTCCGCTCCATTCTTTCAGACCCTTAGAATCATTGCATATCCAGTGATGTCCCCACTTTGTGTTTTTTAGAGTGTCGGTAAATATAACATCGATTCCAAATCTGCCATGCATTTAATCCCTACTATGTGGTGGATCTCTACCTGTTATGGACTGAATGTTCGTGTCCCCCTGCAAATTCAAATGTTGAGGCTCTAATTTCCAATATGGTGGCATTTGAAGGTGGAGCCTTTGGGAAGGAATTAGATTTAGATGAAGTCATAAAGCTGGGGCCTTTGTGGTGGAACTATTGTCCTTCGAAGAAGAGAGACCCGGGTTCCCTCCCTCTCCATCTTGTGAGGATATAGCAAGAAGGTGGCTCTCTGTAAGCCAGGAAGTGGGTTCCCCCCCAAGATTTCAATCTGCCAGCACCTTGATCTCAGACTTCCCACACTCCAGAACCATAAGAAATAAATGCCTGTTGTTTAAGCCACCTCATCTGTGGCATTGTGTTGTAACAGCCTGAGCAGACTAAGATACTGCTGAGAGACTGCACTTGGAAAAGGAGGAAGACTATATGCTAAGAAAAAGATAGTTGTAAACCCTTCCAGGTGTGTGACCTGCCAACTCTGCAGAGCAAATGTCAGGGCTTTATTTTGTTGGTTGGTTGGTTGATTTTATTTTCTTGTCTGTTTGTTTTTATTTGTTTGTTTGTTTTTGTAGCACTGCTGTATATTAAGGAAGAGGAGGCAGTTCTCATAGCACCCAAGGGAGATGGGATAGTGGGATAAAACCTAGGTTACTGGGATAAAACTGTGCAGAACACACCGAGCATAGAATGATCTGGAAGTCAGCTCCAGAGTGGATTGAGATGGGACTCATGTTGCCTGTGTCACATGATAAGCCAGTCTAAGTGCTAATAAACATGTTTGACCGAACACTGCCCTGCAGCCTTCAGAGAGGAGGAAGAAAAGCATGATTTATGTTCTCCTCCTATTTTCTGAGTCTACAGGATTCAAATTATAGCTACCATGGAAACTGCTTTGGAATTTCTGGAGCCCTTAATTTTAACTTAACATATAAAAACACTTTTGTGCTGATTTTATAATTATTCATGACGGATGAGAAAGTGACTAAATGTCTTTTGACAATGAGGGAACACATAGGAACACTTTTTCCTTTCTTTCTTTCTTTTTTTTTCTTTCATAAAGATGCGTGTATGTGAAATGCTTTCCTTAACTGGGAGCAACTCTTCCATCTCTTGCAGATTCCGACACCATAGCTGAGTTACAGGAGCTCCAGCCTTCAGCCAAGGACTTTGAAGTCCGAAGTCTTGTGGGCTGTGGTCACTTTGCTGAAGTGCAGGTGGTAAGGGAGCGAGCCACCGGGGACATCTATGCCATGAAAGTCATGAAGAAGAAGACCTTGTTGGCCCAAGAGCAGGTAGGAGCATTTTAACACCACGCCCTTTCCCCTTTCTGTGCCAGAATGTTCACTGCAGAGGTGATGATCTGCGAAATTGGCATCTGGGATCCCCCAAGATTTCCCCGGTGATTCTCTCTCTGGTTGCAGAAAGCTCTCTCACATTCTCAGCTTTTCTTCTTGAACAGATATTGACTCATTTTGAAGGCTCAAAAGCTCCCCTTGATTTCTTTATCACGTTTCTCTTGTTGTATTTTGTTCAGAATCAACATGGCCTTTTAACTAATAAATTTAAGATGACCTTTCATGACCGTCCACTGGGGATTTCGAGATATGCATCTTGAGGGGTTAGCCAGCATTCGCTTTGGGACACATTTTCTTTATTTGTGCTGTGGGCATATGTATTTGATTTTTAAACAGGCTTTTGAGGAAATGAAATACAATTACTCTGTGGCTAGGGTATTGCTTGTTTAAAGGTAGGTAGGAACTTCTCTTTCTGATCGTGGTATTTTTCTTTCTTTGAACAAGGCTTCTGCTCCAGACATATTGATTCATTTGCCGGGTTGCTAGAGAGACAGTCATCAGCCTTGGTGTTCAGAGCAGTTTATTAGTTACAGACGTCCGAGCGCACATCGTGGGTCCGATAATGTACCCAGCTCCGTGGGAAGGCTGCAGAAGGAATTGGAGCTCCATGGCTGTTAGTTACAGGCTTTAAAAACAACTTTGGAAAGTGGAGGAAAAATGCAGATGTATAAAGCGCGTTCAGCAGCCAAAGCATCGCAGAAGGGAGAGCAGGGAGCAAATTCACCAAATGTGGAGTGAGGAGAGATGTGGGTGAGCCAGGGACAGTCAGGGGAGGTTCACACCACTGAGAGGGAATGTAGGTTCTGGGGAGAGAGGCATGACGGGAGTGTGGCAGGTGGAAGTGTGTGTGTGTGTGTTTTGGAGGAATGAGTACTAGAATTCTATACAGATATATGTGTGCGTGTGTACGCGCGCATGTCTTCCCCACCCCCCTTCTTAGTGGTTTAGAACAGATGGACAAGGAAATGGGGAGAAATGAGACATTTGGTTGGGGAGGGGGTCATCTGTGGGAAATCGGAAGAACCTTTTTTTTTTAAATTGTGACAAAATATACATAACATAACATTTACTGTTTTAATCCTTTTTAAGGTACAATTCACTGGTCTTAAGTGCATTTACAATGTTGCCTGCAACCGTAACCACTCTCTCTTTCTAGAACTTTCTCATCATCCCACCTAGAAACTCTGTATCTTTTAATGGTAACTCCCCATTCCCTGAAGAACTGTTTTTCGGAATGGCTGTTCACTTTGTGAGGCGGTTGGGGATTGGTGTTACACTTTTGGAAGGACGAGGTTGGGATCGGAGTCTGAGGACTCGGTGACTTTGTGTGGCCTCCAGTCAAAGGAGCAGTGGAGGGCGGGAGGCTGCTTGTCAGTCCAGGAATGATGTAGCCTGTGTTTAGAAGTGAAATGTGAGTGACTTCACCAAAATGAGAAATGACAGGACGTTGCAAATCATTTGGAAAGGGGGGAATGGAAGACGTTGCAAATCATTTGGAAGGGGGGGAATGGAAGACGTTGCAAATCATTTGGAAGGGGGGGGGAATGGAAGATGCTCACTCAAGCTCCCAATACCTAAGCCACCATCTATCATCAGGACACACTGACCAAGCACCTGTTCTGTGTGCTGTGCTTCTAGGTCCTTGAGAAGAGGCATTAAATGTAGCCCTGACCTTGCAGTGTTTGTGGTAGATGGGAAGTGGTGCATGTAAAAAGAAAACAATCCGATCTATTGTACTGCAGGCAAGCAATAGAGATGTTCTAGGTGTTCCTTCCTTCAGGTGAATGACTTGCAATGACCCTGTGTGAGGTGTGGGCTGGGGGTTTTTAATTTTTAGTTTTTTAATTTTATTATTATTATTATTTTTTTGTTTAATTTTTTTTTAAAGTAGGCTCCACGCCAGGTGTGGAGCTCAGTGCGGGGCTTGAACCCCCAACCCTGAGATCAAGACTGAGAGGTAGAGGCTTAACCAACTGAACCGCCCAGGTGCCGTGTGTGGGCTGGGGGTTTTTACAATCAGATACACACAGGAGCTAATGAAAGCTACCCAACCATTCCTTAAGACAGTGAATATGAAGGAAAGTAGAGTCTTTAACTGAGCCATGGCAAGGTTTTGGAATTTAGGGCATGAGAAGAGAAAAACCAACACCAGGAGTGAGGGAAAGGAGATGCCAAAGAAGGAGACAGAAGAGGTAACATCCTGTAAGGAAGATCACTTAGGAGAGCCAGCATAGCTGCCCAGGGCTTGGTGAGAACCAGAAGAGTCCTCAGAGACCATTTATTTTAACTGAAGCTTCAGGGATCAGATGAAGAGTCTGTGGCTAGCAAGTAAAGATGTAGGCTTTTCAGTTCGGCCAAACTTCACTGTACACTTTTTTTTTTTTTTTTTTTTTAAGATTTTATTTATTTATTTGACAGAGATCACAAGTAGGCAGAGAGGCAGGCAGGCAGAGAGAGAGGGAAGCAGGCTCCCTGCTGGTCAGAGAACCCGATCCCAGGACCTTGAGATCATGACCTGAGCTGAAGGCAGAGGCTTTAACCCTCTGAGCCACCCAGGTGCCTCTCTGCCACCTTTTATGTGCTAGAAAAGGAGAAGGGCCACATATCAGGTACAGGAGATTACAGGAGTTGGGTTGTTGTTCTCCAGGAATGCCTAGGTTCGTGTTTGATCGAATAGCTGGGTGGTATAGCCCAGCCAAGCTGACCTGGAAAACTAACAGAAAGTACGAACAACTTTTTTCTTCCTGAGCCGTTTGAAAATCTTTTGCCAACTCAATGCCCCATTACCTCTGAAGACTTCAGTTTGCATTTCCTACAATAAGGATACTCTACTGTGAACCACGGTACAGCCATCAATATCAGGAAAGAAACTACATTACCACTGTCTAATACATTACCATGTGCCTTACCACTGTCTAATCCTCAGACCCCGTTCATGCTCTACTGGCCATTCCATGTTCCTCTAGAACAAAGAGGTCCAGCTCAGGATCTCACATAGCATTTAGTTGTCCTGTCTTTTTAGTCTTTTTCAATCTGGGCCAGCTTCTCAGTTTTCCCTGGACTCTCATGACCTTGGCGATTCTGAAGATCACAGACCCAGTTATTTTGTAAAATATAGATATGTCCAACGTTGCTCAGGTTCAGGTGCTAGGTCTTTGGCAGGAATGCCACAGACGAGATGCCTCCCAGTGGGCCACTTTGTTTCAGTTTGTCATGTTCATGTTGACCCTCACTTACGTATCTGCCATGCTTCACTGTGGGGTCACCCCCTTCTGCTTTGTCATTACGTTAGTATTCCATAGGGAGGTACTTTCAAACTGTGGAAGCACCTGTTCCTCATATAACTTTCAATTTATTAATTTATAGCTGTGTGGATTTGCATTTTCCTGCTTAAGTCAGTGAGTTACAAGCCATTATTGTCATTATGTATTTTTATACTCCACCTGTCCTCTAAGTTGGGCCATGAGAGTCTCTTTAGGTTGGTTTTTGCGTCTTTTGACACATCCCCATCTTTGAGTTGTCTCTTGCTTTCTGGTACAAGAGGTTCAGGCTCTTGCCTTCCCCACCCTTGGAATCAGTTACTTCTCAAAGACAAGCAATAACTTTCAGTGTAAGAGGGTATTTGGAAGCCAAGATCTGGGCACTAGGTGCCCTTATTGCTGTTGGGGTGCCACTGCTTCCAGACCCCTTTCAGTGGACAAAGCCAGGGAATACACGTACATGTACTAAATACACCTACCTCCTCGTGTGCGCACACACACATGCACACACACACATTTACGTTTATATTTATTTCTCTGTTTCAGCTGTGTGTTCACACCAATATCTCCGAATCCCATCCAACTTCCCTGAGTTTATTCTAGTGTTCACCCTTTCTGTGTGTGTAGCTCTCTTCTCTTCCCCTAATATTTAGCTTATTTTATGCATCTGTGTGCATTCAGTCTCCTTTGTTGCCGCTTCTCCCATTGGTGGGCTCAGATACCCTGTTCCAGGCCATTCCCTACACGTGGATGCCTTCTTCACCCTATGTGGGCCCGATATTGGACTGCCCCCATACATGACCACTGCCTCCTCACCCTGCTTGGGCCTGGCACCCTGTTCTGGGCCACTGTGGCCCTCTGTCCCTTCCACTTGTCACGGATGCTTACCCTGTTCTGCTCCACCTAATGGCTTTAGGACTGAGTTGTTCAGGGAGTGGAGGTGAAGAAGAAGAAGAGAAAAAGACATTTAGATTTAAAAGAAGTGAGTTGACTTTAAGGAGAGGCATTAAGTCAATAATTAGGCAGATAAGATACAGATCTGGCAAAAATGGTGAGCAAAGTAGGCAAATGAATGAAATTTGTCGAGTGCTGGGCTAAAGGATGGTTTTTCTTTTTTTAAGATAGAGACATCAGTTTTGGCTTGTAGAGAGAGGATAGGGCATTCTCCCTACCCTGCCCCAATGCTATTGTAATTGTCTAAAGAGTTTCTTTTTTCCCCTAGGTTTCATTTTTTGAGGAAGAACTGAACATATTATCTCGGAGCACAAGCCCTTGGATCCCCCAGTTACAGTACGCCTTTCAGGACAAAAATAACCTCTATCTGGTGAGTCTTTCCATCCATCTCTTTAGAATTAGTCCAGGGCTGACACTCAGATATTGCAGATGTAGAACTGGATGTGGGTCTTGCCCATATGGTCTGTTGAGTTGCTTTCCTGACTTTGAGGTATCTTCCTGTTCTCTTTGTCCTAAAGATTAATGGCCAGTCCATTTAGAGATGGCCCCATCTTTGTTGGGTATTATAGCCGTGGTTTAAAGGGCAATAATGAGAAGTCAATTATTTGAGAATAATCTGATTTAACCTTTAATAGCCTAGAATCTTGCTTTAATTTTTTGGGGGGTCATAATTGACATATAATATCTTATTAGTTTTAGGTGTACAACATAATGATTCAGTATTTGTCTGTGTTGTGAGATGATCACCACTAAACCTAGTGAAAGTCATTAACTTTTAATTTTTAAAAACTGAGTACATTGTGATTTTTTTTTTTTTTTTTAGATTTTATTTATTTATTTGACAGAGATCACAAGTAGGCAGAGAGGCAGGCAGAGAGGCTGGGGGGAAGCAGGCTTCCCGCTGAGCAGAGAGCCCGATGTGGGGCTCGATCCGAGGACCCTGGGACCATGACCTGAGTCGAAGGCAGAGGCTTTAACTCACTGAGCCATCCAGGCTCTCCAGTACATTGTGATTTTAAGAAAATGCAAACACGGCAGAATGTATGAAATAGAAGAGAATGTTCTTTACCTTTCTTTCTAATCCTTTTCCCTTAAGGAAACGTATTGATGGTTATGTATGTTTTTCCTGACCCTAATGGAAAAAATATTTCTGTGTCTGCATTTATAACACATGTATATAGTTTGTTTTACGAAATTGTATATTACTCTCTACTCTGCTCTTCAGCTTGCTTTTTGCCTTTCAGCAATTTACCCCCAACATCTTTCCATGTCAGCACATACACATACACATCTGCCTCCTTTTTTTTTTTATTCTTTTAAAATTAGTCAGTATTTTGTTACCTCTGATATTTATTTGTGCCTTTGTCTGTGGCAGTGTGACACATGGCGGCACGTCACACCTTGTTCAGTGCTTTGGTATTATTAAACATTTGAGTGTTAGATGTGATTCAGACGGTAGTTATAGAATTTTGTAGTTACTTGTAAATGAATTTGGGAAGGGGAACTGCCTCCCTTCTGCAGCTTTCTTTTCTTAAATTATTTTTTGTTTACATTCAATTAATTAACATACAATGTATTATTAGTTTCAGAGGTAGAGGTCAGTGATTCATCAGTTGCGTATAACACCCAGTGCTCATGACATCACATGCCCTCCTTAATGACCAACACCCAGTTACCCCACCTCCTTACCCACCTCCCCCAGATCTGCCTCATTCTTTTGAACAATGCCATAGTATTTCTGATGTATGTGTAACATAACGTATACAAGGCTAAAATCCATTTTGGGGCCCTGTTTAGGTTCTTGGGGGTTTAGATTTCTAAAGAAAAAAAAAAATGTATCCCAGAAACAATTTTTGTTCCTGATTCAGCCCTTCAAACAAGACTATCTTATTACGTTGAATGGAGAGGATCTTTTATAGAGACTCACAAAAGAGAGAAGGGTATTTACCTTGAACTTCCATGGGATCATTTTGGGGGGCTTTATTGCATTTATTTCTGACCTATAATAAACAGTGATTAGTGTGGTTTCATATCAGTTGAGAACCCAGTGCTGGGTAGAGAAGACCCCTTTGCCCCCAAGCTCTACCCAGCCTTCTGAGCAGGATGTTTTCATACAGATGTGTTGGGAGACTGGCCTTGCACTAACTAACCACACGCTCCTTGAGGACCAACACTGTACCTGCTGTTTAGGCCTGAAGCTTCCTTTCCTTAAATATTGTCTTCGAACCTTTCCTTCCTTGAGATATGGGGCTTGGATTCCTGACCTTCATAACTGACCTTGGGGTGTTTTAGGCTCATTGGCATTCTAGGATCTGTCTTGCATACACAACATTTGCCTTGTGCTCTCTGTGTCTTCTAGAGTCCCTCATGTTTGGGCGTATTAACAGACTTCTTCATTAGCTCTCAGAAAAGAAGATCCCTTGAAACAGCAGGGATTTATTTGTATGTTAGTGTTGTTTTGGATGTTTTAACTTCAGCTCTGCAAACAATCCTTTTTGTGTTCAAGACAGCACAGAACACGGGAAGTCCTGGAACTAGCAAGGGCCCCGATTTTTGGCAAAAGTTGAGAGTCCACAGTTTTCTGGTTTGCCTCGCGCCGACCTATAAGCTTGTGTTCCTCTTCATCTGGGTTGAAGGCCTCGTCTTCGTAAGGCCCAGGCTCATGCCTTCTCTTCGGAGTCAGTATTATTGAGATGCCTTGGGACTCTTAAGTCCGTTTTGGTAGAGGTGATAACCAGTTCTGAGCATTCTGTGTAACTGATGACAACTGCTGGTCAAGCCACTGCCCAGTGGCTTCAAGGAGCTCACTGCTTGTCTCCATGGTGGCCAATGAGGATGACTGGAGGGGCCCTGGCAGTGTTACTGACTCATAGTTTCCTTCGTGTTGACTAGTAGCTTTTGTTTCTATTTTTGTTCTTCATGGCACAACACTTTTCAAAGTGCATCTTCAAGAGGGTAATACTGGGTCATTTCAAAAATTTTAATCTTTTGGGGGCCGCCATTTTTTATCCCTGCCAATTGGTTTTGTCCCAGTGGTGGAACTTCCCTTTCTTTTTAATTGTGGAATTCGCTGCTATGGACTTCCTCTTAGATACAGCCTTGTTGGAGTATCTCGTGGATTGGGAGTGTCAGCTGCTCCTCTGCTAAGACATCTCCCAGGGGCAGGAAGCTTCCTTTTTTGGGCCTTTTGGCTGTGGGGTTTCAATCTGGATTTCACCACTGACATCAGCATTTTGAGCTTAATGTCCATCTTCTCTGGTTTTCCAGCCGCCATCTTACAAGATAGGAATGCTCTTAAAACAGCTGTTTTCTAGAATTCCAGTTGCCTCAGCACATTGATACCTGGTTATAATGACATTTTTATACCTTTCTTTAGTAGCTCTGTTGGGTATCGCTGATGGGATCTTGTAATTGTTTCCTTGTCTGCATTCTCTTCTCAAGTACGCTGGTAATTTGGAGTAAAATGCTTGCTAAGGGCACAGTTTTCTCATAAATATCCAAACTCAGCATAGGAACTAAGATACGATTATAGATCCACCATGCCTTATCTACAATTCCGAAATACCCAGAGTTCTGAATAACCTCAAGTTCTTTTGTTACTATTTGGCAGCAAAACTTGACGTGAACTCTGTAGCAAAACCTGACCTGAATCTCATCTTCATTCCATTTAGTGTGACTTTTCATACATTTTGCCTCAAAATTGTGAATGCATTTGATTACAGGGTGATATCCCAAGCCCTACCCGAGGGTGTTACATAATATAAAGTATACACACCATTTTTTCTTTCTAAAATCTCAACATCTCTAAGTCTGGAAGTACATTCTGTCACAAGAGGACTGTAGGTCTATATCGGCATCATGAAGTTCTGGAATCCCACTGTACCTGTTAACTCCTTACAGATCACCAAACCTTTGAAATTCGGGGAAAGCATACAAATCATCCTAAACTCCCTGGCAGTTAACCATTCATTTGTAATGCAAATGCAGTGTAATTGAAGATACATTTAAAAATCAATGAATAAAAGAAATCGGATTTGGTGTCCTATATATTTCTCAAAGCTCTCTCTTCTCTCCATTCTTGCTTCTCCCCTGTGAGTTCTGGCCGCCATTTCTTTTGTCTGCATTACTGCAGTAACCTCCTAAGTGTTCTCCCTGCCATCTGTCTTGCCCTTCCCCCAGGTCTTCTACACACTGCAGCCAAGTCATCAGCTGTTAAAACCCTTTAAGACTCCCTGCTGCCCTCTGGATGAAATCCAGACTCTTCCATGTGGTTTACAAGGCCTTTTTCATATATACCGCCAGTCTTGTTGCTTACCTTTCCTCTCCTTTGATTTTAATTAATTAACTTTTATATTTTAAGAGATTGTGAGAACTGGGGGCAGGAGGAGGGACAGAGGAGGAGGAAGAGAGAATATATATTTTTTTAATTTTTAAAGATTTATTTATTTATTTTGCTGGGGGTGGGGCTGGGGGAGAAGGAGAGGAGAGAGAGAGGGGGCACAGAGCCCATTGTGGGCCTTGATCCCACACCCCGAGCTCATGACCTGAGCCAAAATCAAGATTCGGATGCCTAACTGACTGAGCCACGCGGGCACCCCAGGGAAGAGAAACTCTTAAGCAGCTCAATGCTCAGTGTGGAGCCTGTGGAGCCTGATACTGGGCTTGATCCCCCAACCCTGAGATCACGATGTGAATCCAAGAGCCAGATACTTAACTGACTGAGCCACGTCGGCACCCCTCTCCTTGCACTTTACATTCATCTTGAACTTCCTTTGGTCCTTTGAACTGGCCTCTGACCTTTCTCCATGCCATTCCCTCTTTCCCTATTTCCCTGGCTAACTCCTTTTTCTCCTTCTGAGCTTGGACCAGATGTCACTTCTTCCAGAAACTCTTTCTGACCCCTGTAATTGTGGGAGGGATGCCCTTCTGGCTGTGGACTCCTAGCACCCTGTACCTCCTCTTCATGGGTGGGTGTTGGGCTCCCCCACCAGGCTACTCCCTCCACGGAGGGAGGGATTATGTTTCCCTTGCTTCCAGTAGGCTTCTCTAAGTAAATGCTTAAGAAGCATTTATTGGAAGAACATATGATTAATTTCATAGAAATTGATTTACATACAGATTAACTTATTGTGTTATGGAAATGACACATTAAGAGTGTAAATTTTATTCTCTAAAGTATGTAATTCCAGTTAGATCCATTGGGATTTTCAAAATTGGGAGTGCAATGCAAGGAAATTGAACTTGGATCCCTTTGAAATTTGATGGTTAAAAATTTCCTATTTGTCATTACATACCAATGAAACTGGCTTGCCAATTTCTGGCATATAGAAAATTGTAATGAAGCCCATTGTATTGTTAATGTCTGGTTCT